CTCAAAAAGTATGAGGAAAAATAGAAGTAAAAGATAACATGAATCTTTCCATGAACTTTTTGAAGATCACTTATATCTGACCATGTATCATTGAAGATATTCAACCTCTAAAACCTCCCTTTAGCAATCTTTGTTAGAGGGTATAATCGTGTAGAGCTGGACTCTCCTGGCTATCCTTTCAGGGGCATTTAGTTGTTGAAGAACTCAAAGGACCTCATTGCAAAAGGACTTTAGCTAAGTGAAAAAAGACAAGAAAATGTTAGAAGAAGAATGTGTTAGAAAGCAATTTGAAGTTAAAGTACTATTTGAGAAAATTCAATCTGCACAAATACTCACTTCATCTTGCAATTTCTCCTTTCCTTTAAAACGCACTCACATAAAATCTGTTTTGTAAGATGGAACCAGCCAGGAATATAGCCCAAGAAATTTACCACTAAATGGGAACACATATGTGTTTCAGTTCTTAGAAAAACTGTGCCTTGCTGACTTTCTCCCTGGATTTCTTGTTCTCTGCATTGAAGGGCATGTGGTAATTTCTCCCTTTGCTGAATTTTCTTGCTTTTACACTTTCTTCTAACTGAATGTTAAGCACCTTCCCCACACCATAGCTATATTAGGTTGTTCATGTCTACACAGCATCAAGCAACCTTTAGCTATCACTAGCTAAATGGATCAACACATTTACCCAACCACATAACTTAGGCCCTAAGTTATGGGGTTTTCCAGTCTATTTTAATCCACTTAAACATGACACAGGCAAGTTTCCATTTCCTTTATCCCTTGTGTAGAGTCGGTTTTTACGTGTTGGTCTTTAAAAGGGGCAGAGAGGAGACAGCAGTTTAGAGATGAGATTGGCAGTTTTAACCGCACAATTTGGTCTAATAGCTTTGATATGCTAAACTTGCTAGCTCCTCCAACAGGAGGTGCATCACAACAGCACGCTGAATCCCAAAGGATACCGGGATAGATTTTTACATTAAAAAGAAAAGAACGAAATGCAAGCCAGTGAAACTTCTTTTAAATCATCTCCACAGATTTCATTCTGTGAACTGCAGGCCTTCACAAATTCTGGTACACTGGAAACCTTTAAAAAAGGAGAAGCTGAAAATACAGATCAGGTTCTAAAGAGCGAAAACAGGTGATGTCATAACGCGCGGTCCTGTGTGGTTATGGCCAAGGCCGGGTGGGGAGCTGGGGCTCCAGTGAGCACGGTGCTCTGCGGCAGTGGGCGATGCAAGTTATCTCCGCGGCCCGGAGGACACCGGTGAGAACCCGGCACCAATCAGGTGCTCGCTCTCGCCTGCCTTTGTTCTCACCGGGGAGCAGGTTTCGGGCTTCTAGCGTCGGGAACCCGCATTCGACCCGTAAGCGCGTTGCTGGCCCCTTTGGGAGACCTGGCTCCCCTGCTCGCCTGTCCTTTCTACCCCGATCAGCTAAAGCTTTCCGCAATTACATCTGCCTTCTCTTCCCAGAACGTGGACGCTAAAACCCTGACTCACCATTTTAGCTTTGGAAGAGTCAGGTCCAGACCAATAGTTTTAAATGGCAGTTTGTTCTCTGAACCTTCCTTCCCAAACAGGGCTCTGTGCTCTGCATATACCTGACCACCTGCCTCAGAATGAACTTTTGGATAAGACCAACATCTCTTTGGCCCTTTCGTGCTGGACAAACTTTCATTAATAAGAGGACTGCGAGAAGGTGATTCAGATAGAGAAGAAAACCGCTAAACCAGAGGTTTTGTCTTATGTCTTTCCCTCCCTCCAACTCGATTCATTGTAAAAATATACCTCAGACATCTATCCCCTACCCACCTTCCAAGCCTCAGGTACCTGGTCTTTTTATATTTTGCAAAACAAGCCTCACAATAAATGACAAATAAAGTTCTTTGAGATCCCTGGATGCAAAGTGCTACATGACTGCAGTCTTCTTTAAAGCTAAACTTAAATTTTGGCTGAGAGAAAGCCTAACCACTAACCCGCTGGAGGGGACGTTTTAGTCCTCCTCCCCCTTTATCAAGAGATCAGGAAATGTGTAGCTCAGTCTTAGACCCTCTACCGAGCTCGAGCTTCCAGCTTTTTTTCTCACTCTCCTCACCATTTCTGC